AAAGAAAGAGAAAGAAAGAATATAGCTTTGTGGGGCAAGAGAAAGGTATTTGTTTTTCCTGCATGGATCAAAAGCACTCCCAAATGAATGAGCTGGACCCAGAAGTGGCTGCTTAGAGATGAACTAAGAGGTATGGGACTCCTTACCGGCCCTTTCCAAGATTCGAAGCTCCCTCTGGGCCTCAGGAAGGGCAATGGATTGAATACTGAAACAGGCAGTGGCAGGTTGAGATGGGGTAGGGAAGCTTGTTGCAAGGAATGTGGAAGAGGCCTCCACTATCCATGCAGGTACCTTGCCCCTACAACTCATTTCAACCCTGGATTTGGGTTGATTCTTGGAGAGAAGACAGCATACAGTTGGGCAGGGAGAATCAACACCCTTTAGCTTGTCACTTCTGGTCACTCTAATCACTTGACTGTTGTTTCTGAGAATTTGTGTGTCTGAGAACGTTGGGAGCTGTGAGCACCTTCAGAATCCTTAAACAAGTAGACCTGTGTCACTCCAAAACCTGCACTTGTAACATCTTCCTCTATAGACTTTGAAGACTATGGGCCTCATAAATTGCTGAGTAGGACACAAGAGGAGATATCCTTAAGCAGGGATGGAGGGGGGATCTGGAGTCCCTTGGGGAGCTCACAGACACATCACAGGGAACAAGTAAGGCCCTGCAGGGGCAGGTCCCTTATGGCCAGAATGTCCATCATTCCTGCCCAGAAAGATTCACCGAGAGTCCCTCTAAGGATGCTCATCTTCCTCAGACAATCCCACACCTCACAACACCCTGCAAGGCTCCCCATGACCCCTCTCTACCCCTGCTTGCTTCTCTGCCCTCAATGCCTCCCACACTCCCTTTACTCATCCATGCTTACTTCTTGCTGGATCTTAAATACCTCTATCCCCTCTCCCCTGGAACCCAACATTCCCTTTCATCATAGATACTCCTTCCACTGGGAATGTTCACTGTCCACTTTCACTGTCCACTTTTGTTGGACACTTTGTTTCATTAGTGTCTTTGCAAAGGTGATAAAACCTGGGGAGTGCTGCTGTTAAGTGCTTTCCAACAGAAGAGTCTTATACAACAAACAAACCTTATGATGTGTCCTCATCTACCTTATTCACCAGATTTGGCACCATACAATTTCTGATGCTTTCCCAAAGTCAAAATGACCCCCGTCAAATGAAAGCTTCCTCAACTACCATGCTTACAACAGCTACCACTGTCTTCAACACTCCCTGCATGTTGTCTGACCTCTGTAGTACCTACTATAACCCAACATGCCATGAATGTAACTTTTAATTCTGGTTGTCTTTTCTTTTTTTCTATAGGGTTGAAGTTCATGACAAAGAGTTGTTTTTTTGTTTTTTGTGGGTTTTTTTGGTCTTTTTTTTTGGCACTGCCCCACTAGCATTGAGGACATTTTTAGTACATGGTAGAAGCTTAATAAATATTGGAGGAATGAGTAAGTGAGTGAAATATTGAAGGGAAGAGGAATTTCAAGACTGGCCCAACTGTAAGACCATAATGATTTACCTCAGGTGGCGCTAGGGTACAGCATTAGATTGCTGGGGAATCCTGAAATGTGGAATTAATGCTTTAGGCAGTGTGCTTACCAGTTTTCATGTCACTGAAACATACTTGAAGGAGGAAAGATTTAATTTGATTCATTATTTCACCTGATTCAGAACATGGACAGCAGGCTCAGCATAGACACATCATAGAGAAGTGGCAGGTGAGCACCCATGCTTAGTTCATGGCCACCAGGAAGCAGAGCAGAGGAACAGTGCCAGAGAAGAGGGACCAGAAATGTCTGAGGCCATGCCTGCAAGGCCACCTCCATGCAACCAGGAGTGTGCTTTCCCAGCGTGCTAATTGTTTCTTAATTAGGATTAACAGTCACAGGGCGCTAGTGTGCTGCTGTTGAGGTGGGAGGCCTTCCTCCACCTAGGAATCACTCAGCCACCAGAGTTTATGCACTGGGTACTGGTGACCTCTAGCAGCATCTCTGTAGAGTGGCTGTTTTCCGTTGGCCCACTGTGCTGCTGCTAGCTTGGCCACAGTGGAACCCTAGAGAAGCTGAGCCTGAACTCAGCAGTCTCTGCCCTCAGCCATGGGCATGACTGGAGGTGGGGCACAGATCTGTTACCCTCTGCTACCATGCCATGCTTATCAGGGACTGCAACCAACATCAGGGCACAGTGCCCAGTACAATCTCCATTTACCCAGCCAACTCTGTCACCCACATCACAACCAGACTCCTGCCCCTGGAAGGCCTGTCCCCTCCTGTCACAAAGACATAGTTTTCAAGTCTGGAAGACTCTCGTTTTCTCCACAAAGTGACATAGAGAAGACCATTCTTAAGTTGCACATGTGGGTGGGACCAGGGATACCATGGTGAGGTGGAAGGCTTCTCCTACAGTATGTGTCTTGACTTTACCCTCTTTCACAGTGTATTATAAGTCTCTTATGGTGGCCAACAAGATAGCTCAGTGTTCTAAAGCACCGGCTTAGGCAAGCTTAGGCAATTGCACAGGGACCCTGGTTTGATCCCCGGCACCACATGCAGTGCCATCCATGCTCCCAGGGTGAACCAACAACAAAAATCAAAAATTAAACAAACAAAAAACAAATCTCTTATGGACCAGGGCTGGAGCCTAATAGATCCAACCCAGTGTTAATCATAAGGTCAATATGAATAGATGTATTTTTTTAGTTTTAATCAATACTTATTAATTGTATATTTTAATAGGATTCAATATATTTCCAGACATGTACACATTGTGCAATATATAGATGACCAAATCCAGCTTCTCTTCACCCCATACACACCCTTCCTAATCTTTGATAGTCTTTACATTTAGGTCAATATTTATTAGCTTCTACATATGGGAGAGAACATGGTATTTATCTTTCTGCATTTGGCTTATATTGCCTAATATGTTATGCTCCAATTCCATCTGTTTATCTGAATAATACAGGCTGAAGAGTACTCATCAGGTGTATATATACCACATTGTCTTTATCCATTTATCTATTCATAGGCACTAGGCTGATTCTACCATGAATAGTACTGCAATAGATATGGAGGTGCAGGTATGTCTTTGGCATGCTAGTTTCATTTTTTTGGATAAACACCCAGAAATGGGATAGTTGCATTATACAGAGAATGTAGTTTTAGATTTTCTTTAAGACTGTCCATACTGTCCTCCATAATAGTTGTTCTACTTTATGTTGCTTTATTTGCATTGTGTAATGCATTTTATTCTTTTTAATTTTTTATTCATGTTAATAAGAAAAAATAGCATTGAAACAGTTTCAAAAACAGATTAGGATAGTTACAATAGTTGATGCATTGCATATTGTTGTCTTTGTTGTAGTTATACAGAGGACAAGATGTAGACATGGTATCTTGTCTAAACAATATTAGTACAAGCCTTTCTTCTCATTGAAATAAGAGAAAGTAGATGTACATTCCTGAAAAAGAGTTCTGAAACAAAAAAAAAAAAAAAAAGAAAGAGGGCCGGCCAAATAGCTCAGTGGATTAAAGTGACTGCAAGCAGGCACAAGGGCCGGGGGTTCGATTCCCGGGCCTGCTGCACTGGCCCCATTCCCAGGGTGTGCTGAGATGGCAATTGAGATTGGGCGTGCTCACACATGCCTATAATCAAAGCTCTTGGGAGGCTGGAATCAGGTGGATCACTACAAGTCTGATCTAGTAGTGAGAACTGGAATACCCTGTAGACCCTTCCCTAAAATACAGAAGAAAAAAAAAAGAGTTCTTTTTATCTCCACATCCTCAATATTAGTCATTTTGTTTTGTTTTGATTTTGTTCTGAGAAAATTAGAAAACATGTAATCTCATTGTAGTTGTAATTGCTTTTACCAGATGGTTCATGATATGGAGCATGTTTTCTGTCATATTTGACTATTTGTATGTCTTTAGAGATATATTTATTCACACCGTTTGCCTGTTTTTAAATTGGACTCCTTGTTCTCTTCTCTTAAGTGTTTTGAATACCATGTGCATCCTGGATGCTGGGCCTTAGTCAGATGCAGAGCCAGTAGACCAGCTCTGTCGTGCAATAGTTTTCCTCCTCACTCTGCTAATGTTTCCCTCTTCTACACAGCTTTTTTATTTTATGTCACCTTATTGGTCAATGTTTATTTTTGCTTTCTGAGCTTTTAGGGTTCTTCATGAACAAAAAAATATTCAAGTGGACAAATAACTGAATGAGCATCTGTTTGGTTTCATTTCTGATGTAACTACCAACTCTCCATATGTTTGTAAGCCTATATATGCATGCATGTATGTGTGTATGTATGTATAAATGCATATATAAAGCAAGATATCCATGGACAGAGGGAAAGGTTGACAAATTGCCTTCTTGCCAGGGTAAGGAACACCTCTCTGGAAAGTCTCTTTTCTCAAAATTGATGCAGACAGCTGTTTCCTAGCTCACCACTGGACCAGGGTGTGTGCCTGTGGAAGTCTATGTCTGTAGAACGCTGAAGGCATGCCAGGGATTGACCCTGAAGGCTGCTTGCTCTCTCCTGACAATCAGACTAACTTTGTGTCCATTTCTTTTTCTGCTACAGGCTTTCCAGGAGCTGTAGGGCCAGCAGGAATGCCTGGACGAACTGGCCCAGTTGGGCCCAAAGGGGACAATGGCTCTGATGGAAAGCCTGGACGAAAGGGCGATCCTGGACAAAGTGGTGAGCAATTGGACATGGAATTCAAATGTGTCCAAGTGGTGTCTGTGCCAGTAGGCTACAGGGGTAGCCATGTGCTGGGCCCATCCCAGGAAGAAAGAAGACAGAGTTTCTGAAAGCAGCACTGGGTTACCTCAGGACTGACTGGGCCTGCTGTGGATGCCTCTTTGACCTCTACTACTACTGTCACTCCAGGCATCCCCTCTGTCAAGAGGGCTTAGTGTCACTGACTAAGATTGTCTTTTTCCCCAGGACCCCCAGGACTCCCGGGTGTGCCTGGTCTGGTAGGAAAAGATGGTCCCCCTGGAAAGCAGGGGGACATAGGTCCTCAAGGCAAGCCAGGCCCCAAAGGAGAGACTGGACCCAAAGGTAGGTGGAAGGGTAGTGGCTAGAAAATGGGAGGAAGGAATGACAGCTTGATCTGTGGTGGATGAGGGATGCTCAGAAGGCCAGGAGGAGGCCAGGCTGTAAGGACCGGGAAAGTTTTGTCATGTGCTCCTTCCCATCACCCTGATGTTAGGGCTGACTTACTCCTACCAGCCACAGAAGAACCCCAGCAGTAAGGAGCTTGGCCAGGTGCCTTCTCTGACCCTAGTGTGGGTGAAAAGCTCTACTACAGGAGAGATGACACTTGCTGAGAACACTTGTGGTGGCATTTGTCCCTGTGTGTTTCTTCCTCAGGAGAAGTAGGTGCCCCAGGTGTACAGGGTTCCACAGGAGCAAACGGCCCCACAGGCCCTAAAGGAGAGAAAGGTGCCCCTGCTGAACCTGGAGCCCCCGGAAGGGCAGGGGCAGCAGGTGAGTGATGGCGGTCCTGGGACTGGATCCCGTTAGCTGGGCACACTTGGCTCCCTCCTCCCCACCACATGAGGCCAGAACTGGCATTGCCAGCTCACTCGGCCCAGGCACATTTCTTGTCACTTGTACGCAGTACCAATATACACAACTCTAATGAGGAAAGGTTTATTTGGGCTTACAGTTTGTAGAGGTTTCAGTTGATGGTTGGCTGGCTCCAAGACAGGTGGCATGACAGAGGGGCATGACAGGGGGAAAGATATTATGGCACAGCAGCCAGAAGACAGGAAGTGAAGGGAGAAGCCAGCAAGGGAGACAAACCCTTCTGGGCCACACCCTCCATGACCCGCCTCCTCTAACCAGGCCCCACATCCTAACAGCCTGACAGCTGGGAGCCCCATAATCCAATCACTTCCTGAATCCCCACCCCGAGTGTGTGAGTCTCTTGGGAAATGTATGGTATAAATCCTGAATCTGCATCCAAGGCAGATGCAGTTCTGGGCTCTGGAAATCATCTGTTGGGAGAAGGCAGTGCTAGTCTGTGTCCTGGGAAGTCAGTTGCCAGTGACAGGGACAGCTGTGCACAGAGGAGGTGGACTGCTGTGTTCTGGGCAGTGTGTAACGGGGAGAATGAAGAGCCAAGTACTGAGGATCGGGCCTGTGCAGAGGAGGAGAAAACTCTGCAAAGTGGCTGAACTGCTCACTCTGCTATTCTTGCATCTCAGGGCCTGCTGGAGCTGTCGGTCCACCGGGACCTGTGGGTGCCAGAGGACCCCCAGGACTGAAGGGTGGCAGAGGGGCTCCTGGAGCAAAGGGTGAAAGTGGGCTTTCAGGTGAGGTGGTCGCTCCTGGCTCTGGGTACAACACTTGGGAAAGGCTTGGGGAGAGGGACCCTCTTCAGCTCAACACCGTCTACCTGTGGGTCAGAAGCTGATGAAAGGCTCATGGTTGCAGGGCGGAATCAGGCTTTGGCCTCAGCTATCACTGCAGGTGAGAAGGCAAATCCAGGCAGTTTCTTCAACTGACCTGAAAACGTAGCAGCCACCCTCCCAGCTAGAAGGACAGCATTGAGTACCCAGTGAGCCAGGACATGAGGAGTGTATATTCCTACTCCACACATGGAAGAGGGGAGATGCCACTATTATATTCCCAGAATTCAGAGTGACAATGACATCTAGTTGTCAGAGCGGCTCAGGGCCCAGTCTGTCCATAGCAGAACCCTAAGAAATTCGTGCATAAAGAGGTCACCTGGGTTAGTAAATGTAACCTGGCTAGGGGTCAGCCCCCTCCCCAACCTACCCCAACTATCCACCTGCAACCGTTCACCATTCCCCAAGGCCCAGGCTCTGGGGTGTTCCTGGGCTGTGCTGCACAAACCTTCATCCTGAGCTTATCTCCCCTGCAGACATCACTTTTCTGAAGCAGCAGGTGGCAGCCTTCCAGGACCAGTTAGAGAATCTCAAGGCTACCTTGTCTTGCTACAAGAATGGTGAGCTCCTGGACACAAGGCTCTGCTGCACATGAAGATGTTACTACTAACTGGTCTGGGCCTTGGGGTTGGGGTGAGCTGGGGTGAGAGCTTTGACTGAGACTAAGGGGAACTTTGCCCAGGGTCTTGGAAGGGAGTGAATGGGGATACACCTGGAACTGGGCTTGAAACTAGAGCTGGGAGTAGGGATAAAGTGAAGACTGTGTTGGAACAGGGACGCCTCCTAAAAGTTGTTCTGGCATTAGTAAGTGGAGGTGCCCTGTGAGCAGCTCAGGCTGGCAGAAATACTGTCAATGGTGTCCCATTTCTGAGCACTCTCCAGCCTCATCACTCATGCCCTGAGGCAGTCTGCAGCCCTTCCCTATTGCCTGGACTGTGCTGGTCTCTGTGTGTGACAAGAGGACAACCAGGAATGCCATGCATTGCAAGCCTGGGGGCCAGGTGTTGGGGGCCAGAGATGGCACTGCAGCCCAAGGAAGCACTGAAGTCAAGTGCTGCTTTAGGAGACATGCAGGCTGGCCTGGCCTTGGTCTGTGGCCAGTGAGCATCTCAATTCCAGGTACTTCTGAGCCAAGTGGTGACCATGATGCCCCTGGGCTTCAGCTGGGCTGGCCCTGCTGCAGCTGTGAGGCACAAGAAGCAGAGCTCTTGCCCTCGCTGTGCAATCCTGTGTATCCCAGGCATGCAGAGCCACAGCCCTTGGCTCTCTGTGACTTTTGGAATCCACCTCAGTTCCCAGATGCCCCTTCTCCTGTTCTGCTCTTCTTAACATCAGTTTTTACTCAATGTCTCTCTAAACCAGAAAAGTAAGTTTTCTGACTAAGTACAGCATGAAGGGAATCATTTGAGTAGGACATAGGTTTGGCTTCTAGGTATTGAAACTCAGGTTAGTTTCAGTCCTTTGGTACTTCTCCCTCGCTCCACAAACACATTCATAGATGCACTCATTTCCATAGGTACACTGATACAAGCACATAAACATACACATGTGCACCTGCTGCACATGCATGTACTTAAATATGATCATTCATTCCACATCCATCTACATCCATTGGCTCACATGTCCATGGGGACATTCACCACTTTGTGCTAAGTGTTCTATCACTGGGATGCTAAGCATGTGGGTTATTTATATCCTACTGCTCAAGGTCATTGCTAAGGGTAGATTCTGCAAATTCAAAAAAGTGCAGCCTCCATCGGAAGGACTGCCACGTGCCTTTGGATGACTGCACAGACACATTCACGTGGCTTATGTGTACCTGCCTGAGGTCTGGAGCATAAATCCAGTGAAGATGCATGAATCTTACACTGATCTCACTCAGGGCTCTCTGGGTTTTGTGGAGCCCACAGAGAACTTTCTCCCAAGTCTCTATTAAAGATGCTCAGGAACAGACAGTGAATTGGCATGCAGCCTGCACCCTGCAAGCCCAAGTCAAGGAGCACAGCCCTCTCTGAAGCCTCGATAGCTGAGTGCCTTATGCAGACTTCCATGTGTGGACCCAGAACCACGGGGAGGGGGACAGAATGGCTGAAGTGGTACTTGGCATGTTGTGCTGGTGAGGCTTCTGTGAGGTGGTCCCTTACTTTACAGGGACAAAGAAGTGGAAACTCTGAAAGGAAAGTGACTTTGCAGTGTCCACCTGGACATAACCAGGGTGGGTATTAATGTTTGGGCTTTGATTTTGTTTAGGACTCTCCAGCATGCTACATACACAGATTATCCTCTCAGACACCCTCATTCCAACCCTCAGCACCTCCAGGGCAGACTGAATGGCAGGAGCACACACACACACACACACACACACACACCCCAAGAGCCCGACCTGGACTAGACCCGAGCAGAAACTGACACCTAGCAATCTCTGATGTCCTTCCTGTCCTCTCCCCATCACACAGCACAGTCGAACAGGAGTGACAAAGGGGTCCCTGCACAATGGTTCTTGGTATTCTCAGAAATGGGTGTAGGCCTGTAATCATTTCCCTGGGAAAAACTGTTCAATTCTACATAGTAACTAAAAAGCTCAATTCCAGCATACAACATGGGCTGACAGGAAAAGAGAAACTGAGTGTTGGGTCAGGCTAACTTCTTTAACTATGTATTTGCGGCCTGTATGGATTTGGGCCTTACTTGACTTCTCTACCCTCTCTTTGTCTCCCCTGTGGACAGGGGCCATGTCCCCCTCTCCCAGTGCTACTCTGGATCCATATCTTGTTCACATCCTTTGCGGTGTCCTGACATCCTGGAGCAGAAGGCTAGGGTCACTGCATAGAGAACCCAGACTCCTGAGTTCTGACCAGCCTTAACCCAACTCTGTTTCCTCCAGCTGAGCTTTACTCCAATGGCCGAAGTGTTGGAAACAAGATCTTCAAGACAGGGGGTGCCGTAAAAAATTTTGAAGGGGCACAGGTGATGTGCAGTCAGGCTGGCGGGCAGGTGGCCTCCCCACACTCTGCGGCAGAGAATGCTGCTTTGCAGGAGCTGGTCACAGCTCAGAACAAAATCGCTTTCCTGAGCATGACAGACAGCAAGAAGGAGGGCACATTTGTCTACCCATCCAGAGAGGCCCTGGTCTACTCCAACTGGGCCTCTAAGGAGCCCAACAACCTTGGCGGCACAGAGCACTGCATAGAGTTATTCACCGATGGCAAGTGGAATGACTGCAATTGTGGAGAGAATCGCCTCGTCATCTGCGAGTTCTGAGCCCTCCCCAGGAGGGGTGCCAACATCCCTCTGGCCACCAAAAGAATGATCTGTGCCAGCCCAAAGTAGCCAAAAAGAATACTGCAGATGCCTCTCTAAGTATGCAAGACACCTGCCCACAACGAAGCCCAGCAGAGAAGGGGTCACCTGTCCTCCCAGTTATAAGAAATAAAAGTCAGTTTCCTCTACCCCATCACAAATCCAGGGACTTATTTCCAGCCCTTCTGCTTACCCAACTCTCAGCTGCATCAGGCTCCATTGGCCTCTCCCTCCCTTTTCAAGCTCTCCCTCCTCTGGGCTCTCAGGGACACCACTGCTGCCTACCGTGACTGTCATGCTCCAACTTGTCATCTGCTCATTCACACTGCTGTCCTTGAATGCTGGATGGAGGAGCACCAAGTCTCAGCTGGGACTTTCTTCTCTGCTTGTCGCTGCAGGATGAACACCCCTGGTCCCTCCCCCCATCACAAATCCAGGGACTTATTTCCAGCCCTTCTGCTTACCCAACTCTCAGCTGCATCAGGCTCCACTGTCACATTCTACCTACAAGCTGACCACTCCAGCACACAGATCCATGTTCAGGACTCCCTCTACATCCCAAACTTCTCTCCATGCACTTGGGAGCCCCAGAGCTGGAGGCATCTGTGGTTGCTTCTTCCTAAGCCCAGAGTTCATCCTCACCCCTCTGCCCAGCATCTCTGCAGCCCTATCAATGGGCCAGGCATGTGCTCACAGTGCTAACGCCACCTCAGGGAACTTCGAAGCAGAGGGCGTCTGTTCAGGCTCAAGTCACCACAACACTAATTTTGCCTGGCAGTTCCAGGAATCTTCTTTCCCACTGTGCCTCACAGATAATCTAACTAAATCATCTTCCTCTTTTTCCAAATATTGAAACCAAAGAATAGAGAGAGGAAGGGACTTGTCCAGGAACACAGTGAATGGCAGAGTTAGAACTTGGTCACAAACAGGCCTTTCAGATCCCAAAGCTTGTGCTTTGGGCCTGTAGATATGTTGACCAAAGACTCCTGAATATTTGGTTTATTTTTTTGTTACAGCATTGCACAAAATTACATAAATGTCATCTGCATTCAAGAAACGGGCATGGGATCTGGGTAAAGCACAGTCTAATATGAGGGAGCCAAGTACCTCCTCCGAGACTGGAAACCACTCTCCCCTTTGTTCATAGAGACAAGGGGATTGCTCTTTCCAGAGGAAGCCTCCAAATCCCACCCCTTTTCCTGGCAGTCCTGAAGCCAATGCATGCCCAGAAAGAAAAGCCATGCTTCAGGCCACATGCAGTGCAGGGCCTCTGCTAAGATCTTTCTCCTTTTACTGGAAAAGTCCCCATTCCTGGCACTTTCTGAAAAATCAGTTGTGCAATGAACAAGCAAACAATTCCCAGGTGTAGAGGCCACACTTGGGGACACTCAGAAAGCCTCTTTTTATTCCAAGTAAGAGAACAACTGGATATATTTTAAGCCAAAGATAAAGCATATTTTCTATAAATAGATCATTCTGAATGAGCTCCAAAAATGAATGAGCTCAGCAAGGCCTGGGGGAGCATAAGCCAAGCCATGCCATCTCCCTGGCTTCTGAGTCCCTCTGTGCTTCTTTTCCTCCGCTTCACACTGACCTCCTCTGCTTCCTGTGTCTCTACTGCCCATGGATAGAGGAGCAACATCAAATATTGCCCAGAAGTGAGGAATTTTCACTTGCTCTCAATTTGAAACTCCTGCAGAAATAAGCCTTCTGGGTCAGGACTCAGCCCTGGTCCAATCAACTGAGCTTCGAGTCATGGGACCCCATGGCATAATATGGCCACTGGGACCTACTGGAAGTTCCACTTTTCCAAGGACTACCACCCATCCATCCCAATACTTATGCCAAGCCTGTACTTTTTGAAGGGAAAGGAAAAAGTAGCCAAACAGTATGAAAAAGAAAATAGTCTCCCATAGTTGGAAGGAAGGGCCTGAGGTAATGAGACTCCATTCCCCTAAGAACCTTTGAACCAACCAGCATCATGTCCCATGACTGCAAAAGGGCCGTCTGGGCTCTGTAGACACAATCAGGTTTAAAAAAGAAGTAATGCAAATATTGAAGAAGTTCAATACCTGACTTGAGCCCTTGAGCACAGAGGCTGTCCTGTACTAAGTTTTATGAGTAAAGTTCAATCAGGATCTGAAGCAGTGTCCACCTCCCTCCAACATATCGGGGTCTACTCTGACTGTCACACTGTCTAGGGGGTGGGATATGATGACCCTAAGAGTAGCAGGTGACACTACAGGAGTGGCTAGCTTTCTTCTATATCTGGTAGAGGAATTCTTCAAGCAGTTGCACCGGGAAGCCCCTGTTCCATTTAATAGCATATTCTCATTTCCTTCTTGCTCTCAACTCTCCTGTTACCAAACGAGCCCACATCCCATAATGAACAGCCAGTGAGGAGCCTTCTAATGTTTGCTTTTCTACTAGAATCCTATTTTTGTTCTGAATTGCCTAGATGTACAGCATTGACAACTGAATTGCCTAAGTTCAGGAAATCATCAACCATTCTTACCTTTTAGATAAATTGTACTTGATTAAAGTTTAATGATGTGCTTGACCTTTCAAGTTAATTATATTTTATGTGCTACAGCAAAGAAATTACCTATCAGGGAAATAAACTGTTAATTTAGATGTAAAATATTTACCTACATACTAGATACAAACATGGAAATGGCTGATCATGCTCTTATAGATCCTACAGCCCTGCAAAACCCTGATCCAACAGGCAAGAAAACGTAGAATTTTCTTCTAGTAATGAGGAATAGAGATGCTATACATGTACATGTAGAATGAATGGATGGGTTTTAAGCACTTTTAACCAGAGAGGACAGACATCTGCTTGTGCAATCACCAAACTTCTTAGAGACCACATCATGCTAGATTACTATCCACTGTAGTTAACTGTGACTTTCAGGTCTCTTTAAAGAGAGAGGCATGTATCTATAGTGCATGTCACTTCTGAGTGATTAATAAGGGCCAGTAAATAGTTCTATAATGACCTCTTCTCTGAGGCATAGTGACTATAAGTGAATTGGTGGCAATTAAGTGGCTCTGCAATCAAACATGTGGCACCCAGAGCAATCACATGTATGGTTTCTGTCCTCGGGCTGCATGCACATGGACTTGCAGTAGGATCTGAGGGTCTTAACCTGACACATTTCAGATATTAACTTTTTTGTGGAACTGGGAATTGAACTTGGAACCTTATACTTGGCAGGCAGGTGCTTATGCCACTGAGCTATCTCCCTGGCCAAAATATATTAACATTTTTGACATTCACTCACTGAAAAATTCTCTAGGTGCTTTCTGATGCCAACTGAGCCACCTAGGTGTCACAAAGAGGAATTTACAAAGACCTGCCTTAGCAAAATGGCCCCTTCCATATGTATTTAGTGAGCAGAGTGGATGGAGTAGAAAAGAAAAGAATTGTGCAAGTGGTATTTTTAATTCCTTCTTGGCAATCTTGAGTGTGAGACTGACAAGCATGAAGTGTTTGAAGACATCACCCAGCCCTTTGATCTGCAGTGGAGCACAGGCAGTCCCTCTGCATATTTATTTTTTAATTGCATTATCACTTCATTTCAGGTGTAAGTGGTGGGACCAGGCCAGGGCTGAAGGGCTCAGTGATAACATCATCACAAAAAATATTTTGGGACCAGGGAGGAGGGGCAGAGCTGAAAAAAGAAGAGATGACTAGGGGATTTTGAGAAAGCCTTAATGCTTGGTCCAGCTAGAGTGAGAAGCTGGGAAAGCAGGAGGATGAGAAGGAGAGTCTCCAAAAAAAGAGGAAACTGAGAGCACTTCCTTAGAAATGTACATGGGAAATAGGTGAGCAGTGACTGAATTTGTGGGGACTTTGTGGAACAATTGCAAAGCTCTTCAAAATGAATAAATCATGGAAGAGTCAGGGAAATTGTTTTAAATGACCTCAGTAGAATGGACTTGCCCCATCTTTTGTTAAAAAATTTCATAAAACTAGCATGATTGAAATAGTATATTATTGACATAGGAATGCTCAGAAAAATAAAAAAACAATGTGAAGTCCGGAACCTGCCTGTCCCAGTCCAGGCGCAGTGTGGGTGAGACTCTCTTCCACTTCCTTGGGTCCTGCAATGACTCTGCAGCACCCTCCCGCCTGCCTGACAAGTGAAAATATTTGCCCTGTTCTGAGGACCTCCAGATGCAGTCTTATCCCTGGCCCCAGTGAGTGTGTTGGAGAGCTTCGTGCTACCCTGCAGCAATGAGACCTGCCGGTGTCAGCCCAGGTGCAGCGTAGATGAGACCCTCTTCCACCTTCTTGAGACCCCTCCACCACTCCACAGCACCCCTCCACCCCACCCTACAAGTGAGAATTTCTGCCTTGTTCTGGGGAACCCCAAGTCCAATACTAGTCCAGACCTCGTGAGTGTGTGGAAAGCTTCTGGCTACTCTGCACCAGTGGGACCTGCTGGTCCCAGCCCAGGTGCAGCATGAGTGAGACCCTCTTCTACTAACTTGAAACCTCCCACCATTCTCAACACACCCACACCCCGCCTGCACTGTGAGAATATCTGTTGTATTCTGGGGACGCCCAGATCCAGCCCTAACCCAGGCTCGGTGAGTGTGTGGGAGAGCTTCTTCTCCCACATACTCCAACTTATCCCCTCCAAACTCAGCTCAGGCCTGGCATACAGGCCTGGGGTGAAACTCTGCAGCTGCAGTCCCTGCAGAGAGAGTAGGGGACAAAGCCACCCTAGTCCAGGAGCAGAACATTTTACCAGATGGGCACAACAGGATCACTCCCAAGGGCAGCAGGAGGAAGGAGCTGAGTACAGCAGCCAGACTCAAGCCAGGCACAGCAGGATAAATCCAAACTCTGCAGATCTTCACCTGAATTTCAGTAGGTGCTAAGCTTATAACTGCACCAAAGCTCTACAACAAAGGTCAGAAGACAGTGCTACACAAAATGACAATGAGAAGGAGCAAAATGCAATCTCAGAACCCAAGCCCACCCATAACAAGTGCAGAGGACACTAACACAGAA